TGTCATTAAATAGGTGGCCTGTACTTATTAGATCTGTCTCCTTTAGGCAAGTGACATGACTTCTGTATCTATTTCCTCATTGGTAAAATAAGGACTAGGGTGACTATTTTATAGATTTTGTATAGGTGTGCTGATTAAATTAAATAATCATGGTACATTAGTGGACACTCATTATAAGTTGCTTTATTCCACTTTCTTCTACCTGTTTTGTTTTAGAGATGGATTTTAAAAGTAAGAGAATTGAATATGAATTATCTCTGTATAGTAGATAATAGTATTGTATCAATGATAAATACAATAGTTACATAAGAGAATTTCTTGTTTTTAGGAAATTATATTGAAATATTTAGGGATAAATGGGATATCATAATTGCAATTTACTAAGTAGTTCACAAAAATTATATATACATATATACATTACATAATATGTAGGTTTGTATATGAGATATATATATACATATATATATATGTATATATATATATATATATATATATGAAATGTAGTAACATTTCTAACTTTCCTAATACTTAGGAATCTAAGCGAAAACTATCTAGGCATTATTGGTACTATTCTTGCAGCTTTTCTGTAGGTCTGAAATTACATCAAAATAAAACATTTTTAAAAGGAAGGGTAAGAAAATGAATTTATTGAACATGGGATAGAGGTCATCATTTGGTCTACTTAAAAATTATTCTCTTATCAGGATTATTGGTGACAGGAAGGCTTATCGTAATAATATATCCATGCCTCACTTAAGGTTTTTGTTTGTATCAGATTCTAATTATCTGCTAATGCATTAAACTTGCCAAGAGGTGGCAAGTGGTTTGTGAAAAGTGAAGAACTGGGTAGGTGGGCAGGTAAAAGTAGTTTCTTTTATTTCATCAGATGGAAGCTCTCTTAACTCAGCAGCAGTGGCCTATATTCAGTATGACAGTGTGTTCTAGACCCATTTCAAGCACCACATGAAACTTCACAGAAAAACAAAGCTACTCAAGAGGCATTGTAGCTCTCTACCCCCCACCAGACTGTACACAAATAGAATAAGGAGGAAAGCAAGGTATTCCAAGAGCTTTTGGGTTATGAGCTGAAAGGTGGAATCCTTTAGGTAGAAGGGTTGGTGCTGGTTTTAATGCAGGAATCACCAGTTTAAGCAAAGTGGTTCAGAGGTGGACTGATAGCTGTGGCACAACTGGAACAGCCAGAGGAGCCAGCTGGCAAGTTGTCATGATAAATAACAACCTGCTCCTAGGTCAAGTCTATGGAACAATCTACAAACAGGGTATTCTGGACAAAGAGTGACTACAGTCACAGTACAGAAAACAGTCCTCCCACCTGTGCTGCATAGGACGAATTGGAGGTTGTGAAACAGGATTGTTCATAACACCCACACTCTTTACTATTAATCAGGGTCAATATGAAGGCCAGAAATCTTTATGTTCCAACTAAAGCGTATGAGCCAGTCAATGTGAAAGGTCCAGCAGAAGTGTGTAATAACATAATATTGGTACTTTTTTCCTGAATCTGATATTTTATGGAAGACATCACGCAGAGATTCATTGTGAACTTCTACTCTTGCACTTCTGGTGACTGAGCATAGGACACAGTTGTTCTCTGACCCTATGGATAGGAAAAGGTCATATGGAAAGTTACAAAGGTGGCAAGGTTTAAGTACCCACCATCATTGCTGGAGGTCTTCTTCAGATATGGGAATTTTCAAACTGGAGCTCACTGTCTGGTCACCCTGTTGCCCTGGCATCACATGGTTCTTGGCCTTCTACCCTGTGCCATCCCCAACTCTAGACTAAGTTCTGTCTTCATTCTTCATCAAAAGATAACATGCAATTCAACAAGCACCTACTAGGTGTCACCTACATACTATGTGATATACTAAAAATCAATTATATTGATTATATCTGTATATAATCAATATAAAGATAATATATTAATTATCTATTTTACAAGCACCTACAACTGTAGTGGTAAGAGGAACATCTCACACACAATATCTGTACCCTGAGGGCTCTTTCTGTAATAGAGAAGATTGCCCCATGAACATCCTCAGTTCAACTTAATGAGTGCTATGAAGCTGATGCCATCTCAGTAGAGAAAATAAACAAGTTTGCCTGGGGAAGCTGAGAATGGAGTGAGAGCTGAAAACTAAAACATTTTATGTGGAGGAAAAAGCACTCCCAACATCAGGGAAGCCTAAAACAGCACCTCTCCCAACCCCTCTGGAAACTATGGGCCACTCAGCTGGAGCCAGAACCCAAGACTCCTCATGCCCAGGCCAGTGGTCTTATCACTACCTATTCATGGGACCATTCTCTTTGGTATGCCGTCTGTTAGGTAAAAATAAATCTGAGAAATGATTATGTGACCATGTTATGCCTTTAAATTTCAGTTTCTCTTTTAACTCTGTAACATAGCTTTGATAATAAAAAAGTTTTAAATTACAATTTATAGTTTTTAACTTTTCCCCAAAAAATCTTGAGTAAAATTGACTTTGCTGGAATACTTTATTTTACTATGGTTTCTGACAACTGAGGAAGAAATGAATTCTGGTTTAAGAAAAAAGGCCACCAACCATCTGTTATATGACAGTGTGACTTCTCAGGAAATGCAAAGATTGGCCACCAAATGCCCACTTCCATATTGAATGCAAAATAAAACTTTGATCCATTCAATGCCTTCTCAAGTTTAACCTCTCACCATTTTAGCATAGTAAGCAGGCTAATTTACCAATTTAAATAAAATTTTTATATAGCACTCTATAGTAAAATACATTGTTCATTAGGTTGAAAGAAATATATTTACAATAGTCTGAATATGCTAATGATATTGCTCTAACTTAAATTTGAGTTAAATCTGCCCCTGCGTTCCAAAGATGCAAATTATAGCATATGTCTGCATGTACATTTTTTGTTCTGTTAATTGTATCATATAGAGCAGCTGTCCAATAAAAGTATAATGCAAAACACATGTAATTTAAATTTTTCTAGTAGCCGCATTTAAAAAAGTTTAGAAAAACAGGTAAACTCAATTTTATAATACATTTTGACCCTATATATACAAAATACTATTATTTAAGCATGTAATCAATATAACAATATTAATGAGCTATTTGACATTATTTTGTTGTGGACTAAGCCCTTAAAAATGGTGTATATTTAACCCCTACAGCACATCTCAATTCAGACACTAATTTTCATTGGTTAAAGAGAAATAAGTAGAATGTGACCCTACCAAAATAATAAAGTTGTGTTTAGTGAGAAATATTTTACAATGTTTCAGTTTTACAATTTAAATTAACTATAGTTAAATAAAATTTAAAACTCAGTTTCTCTATTGCAGTACCACATGTAGCTAGTGACTACCATATGAGAGTGCAAATCTAGAAGGTAGAGTGCTGGCAAACAGAAAAATTTGGGAGCATTAAGGTTTGTTCTTTGTAAGGCATAAGGGGATTGTGTATAAAAAAGGGTCAGAGAGTAAGCATATAAAAAATAGTAGATTGGTAAAAATGTGAACTTTGGAGTTAGACTAGATTATCTCTGTTGCTTTTTATCTGTGAAGCCTTTATGCTTCAGTTTTCTTATCTGTAAAGTAATAATACCTGCATTATTGGGCTCCTAAGGTTAAATGAGATAACCTAAATAGTGGGCTTTGAAATCTAGCACATTCCAGAGGTTCAATAAATTATAACTAGAATTATTGATACCTATGGAAGTCATGGGGATCTGTTTGCATTTGTATGGGGAACCTCTGAGGGGTTATAATTTAATAATTACTTGTGGGATATAGGATAAGGAGAGAGAGGAATTGTGGCTTTCTTTTTTTGTAAATTTTATTGCCTTATAAAATCTTTATATAGAAAAGTGCACCAATCATAAGTATAAAGCTCAATGGATTTTCACAAAACAAGCATGCCTGTAAAAGCGCCCAGATCGAGAAACAAAACACATAGAGAATTTCAAAGCTCTCCTCATGCTCCCAACAAAAGAAACCACTATTGTGACTTCTAACACTACAGGTTAGGTTTGAATGTTTGTAAACTTTATATAAATAAACTCATACAATCTGTATGAATGTATAAATGTTTGACTTCTTTCTCTCATTCACATATTTGTAAGATTTTTTTAATGTTGTATGGGGCAGTAGTTTGTTCTTTCTCATTGCTGTGTGGAATTCCACTGTATAAATACCCCCACAATGCATTCTTCCATTCTGTAGTAAATAGACATTTAGGTTATTTCTAGTTGGGGCTATGGCAAATATGCCTGTATGTATGTACTGTATTTGAGTTTTCTTCTTTGTTTAAATAAAATGTATTGGGGTGACAATGGTTAGTAAAGTCACATAGGTTTCAAGTGTACAATTCTGTGATACATCATCGATATATCACATTATGTGTTCGCCACCCAGAGTCAGTTCTTCCTGCAACATATATTTAACCTATCCCCTCCCTGCCCCCTTACTCTCTGGTAACCACTAAACTATTGTCTGTGTCTATGAGTTTTCTTTCTTTCTTTGTTTGTCTTGTTCCTTTGTTGCTTTCAGTTTTCTATTCCAAATATCAGTGAAATCATATGGCTCTCCACTTTTTTTGAATGACTTATTTTGCTTAGCATAATAATCTCAAGATTCATTCATTATGTCGCAAATGGCACTATTTCAACTTTTCTTATGGAGAATAGTATTCCATTGTGCATATATACTACGTCTTCTTTATCCAATCATCTATTGAAGGACACTTAGATTGTTTCCATGTCTTGGTCACCATAAATAAAGCTGCAATGAATATTGGAGCACATATATCTTTACAGATAAATGTTTTCAGACTTTCTGGGTATATACATAGGAGAGGGATTGCTGGTCATATGGTAATTCTATTCTTAATTTTTTGAGGAACAGCAGCTGCTATGGAAGGCAGTGTGTTTGAGTTTTTAATCTTGGACATGTTGAAAAGAGAGACTTACTCATCCTATCATTTCATATGCAGGAACCTTAGATAAGCATAAAGAATTGGAGGACCTTGTAGCTAAGTTCCTGAATGTAGATGCAGCCATGGTCTTTGGGATGGGATTTGCAACCAACTCAATGAATATCCCTGCACTAGTTGGAAAGGTGAGAATTTTTAACATAATTATCTTATGCTATATTATTCCTAAAAATTATATTATTATTCTGAGAGGGTCCTTTGTTAGAAGTATGGCTAAGAAGGTCCTTTTCTTAGGAAAAGTTGATTGGATCTCAGCTCTTTTAATAAATGTACCAGCTTAGTCCAGCAAATATCTTCATCATGATAATATGCTTATAGAATTGCAGCCCTAGATGTGGGTCAAATTTCATCTTCCATGAAATTTGTTTAGCAAAATCAATTAAATTTTTAGTGTCCCAAGTCACCACTTGCACTATAACCAATACTTATTAAGCATTTATTTGACCAAAACATTTTGCTTGTGTCATTCATTCATTTATTCATTCAATAAATCACTTATTGAGAATCCACTGTCCTCATATGAGGCAAGATACAGGGCATACAAAGATGAACAAGACCTGTGCCTTGTAAATTTATGTAGTTTATAGTTTAGTGGAAGAAAAAACACAGCAAATAAAATAAGATAACCACCACAGAAAAGGCATGTATATACATGGGAAGGGACAAAAATGTTGCCCCAAGCTCTTTTTAAGAAAGGCAGAGATGCCCGTGCAAAGTGGGTGACATGAGAACTCAATCTTTCACTTACCTGTTAAGACAGGTAAGTTATTTTCCTAAGACAAGGAAGAGGGAGCAGCATGTGTGATGCACTAGGTTTGGAAGGACTAGAATATAGGGTAGTGGGTGAGACCAGAGCTGAAGGCACGTGCCAAATTATAAAGAGCCTCACAGTATAAATCATGTTAGAGCATTTGAAATTCTTCCTGAGAAAAATGGGAGCTGATTGGTTCATTTTAAGTAAAAGAAAGTCCCATAACCAGACTTATGTTTTTTAAAAAACCCCGACTCATGACAACTAAATGTAACGTATGATCTTTGATTGGATTCTGCATTTAAAATATAAAAGAAAAGAAAATACCTATAAAAGACATTCAGACATTATTAGGACATTTAGGGAAATATACATTTGAGCTATATATTAGAAGATGGCATTATATAAATGTTTGATTTATTTGATGTTATAATTGCATTGTGATTTTGTAAGAAAATGTCCTTGTTCTTAATAAATACATGCTGAAGAACTTCAGGGTAAAGTATCATGAGGTTTACAAATAACTCTCAAATGTTCACAAAAATAATTATACATACACACCCACATCTAGAGTTTGGAGATGTGGGAATTTTGCTGGCTCCTGCCTTAAAACATGTCATGTGTGAAGCTTCCAAGCTATAAGGAAAAACTCACAGTTTCTGGGTGGCCATAGAAGACGAATGGCCACCATAGTTTGTCTCTGCATTTTTGGTATGGTTGAGCAATTTCATAATTTATTATTTTTTTATTAAAAACAGAAAACTTTTTTACAAACCGTAATTTAAAAGCAGTAAATTTTCCACTTGCCTCAGGCATAATTGCCATTCATGCTTTCCCAAATGCAGTTTTTAACTGTAAAGCAGTGATGCTTTTGTATACATAGTATCAATACAGTAGCGATTGAGACTCAGAAAACAAGAGTTTGAAAGGTCCTGCAGAAAAGACCCTTGTCTTCCAGAAGGAGTATACCAAAACTGTCCCAAATAATCCAGCATGGGATGGAAGAGCCCCAGAAATCCCACAACCCACCCAAAAGTATATCAGTTTTTCAATCCTTTTTGATGCTAACTGATGCATAACCAAGATCTTAAATGACCTTTTCTGCTGAAAACTATATGTGAACAATTAAAGATGTAATCCCTTAGAACAATGCCCATCTCCATCGGCTAATTGCTCTATAGCATTTTATCCATATAGACACCAGGTTAAGCTCAAGTCATGGCCTTTTAAAATTGAAGTAGGTTTGGGGAATCTGCATTTCAAGTCTTCAGCTGTTTCTCTGTTCACACATGTTGTTTTTCCTTATTTTTATTTATTGACCTGTGGTTTTTTGTGCTTGTTTTCTCAACAGGGATGCCTCATTTTAAGTGATGAGTTAAACCATGCATCTCTTGTGCTTGGGGCCCGACTCTCAGGTGCAACCATAAGGATCTTCAAACACAACAGTGAGTATCAGTGTATTTATCTAACATGTATTTATCAATGTATTTATCCATCCTGCTTCTCGAAGGAAGTGAAAATGATTGATCAGGCTTTGTCCTTGCTCATCAAACTGGTAACAACCTAATGAAACACAATTATGGTTATATTCACTACTGGCTTGTTAACCTGTGCTGACCCAGAACAAATGGTTAAAGTGTGTTAAATACTCAGATTGCTAAGTGTAACCCAAACACATTAGTGTCATTGTAATTAGTGGTCTTGCAACACAGCCTGTGAAGAGATGGTGGATCTCTTAGGACTACCATTTAATTATCAGAAGTGTTATAACTCTGCCTTTTCTATTACTGTACCTTGGGAAAGTTTAAAGACTTGTTTAAGTTTTATGTTATAGTCAGGTAAAAAAAATGATCTTCTGCCTTAGCATAATGCTTCCTTTTGCTATTTGCACCCACCGCATCCTCAGACATCCTCCTCCGCCATGTGCACACACACACACACACACACAAACAGTGTATTCGACTTCATTGAAATGCCTGTCAGGCTCTGAGTTGTGTGGTTGGTGAAGAGGAGGCAGAGGCTATTTCTTCTTAGAGACTTGATGGGGCAGGATGGGAAATATTAGAAAATACTTAGAAGGAGGTGGTGGTGGACACTGGAGTTCTATCATCCAAGTCTGCCCCTAATTTGTTGCATCACTTTGTGTAAGCCCTTTCATCTTTCTCATACTCAGTTTTCTCATCTGTAAAAAAAGGGTATTGAACTATGTAATGCATAAGTATCCCCCTGGTTCAGTTTCTGATTCTAATTCTTCATTACTGTCATCAGAACTCTCCCTTCTTTCTGTGTGTGCACATGTGAGCACACACATGCACGTATACACTCGGTTTCTCTGTCTTCCTTCTCACCACCTTTCTCTCTTGCTTTCCTTTCTTCTCTACTTTTACCTGTTCCTCTTACTTGGCACTTCCCTCTGTCCTCCAAGGAAGCAACAAAAATTGAAGTAAGAAGAAGAAAACTGACAGAGAACTGAGGAAGAATTTCAGTTCAGTTATATCTACCTCACAGAAATCTCAAACCAAAAAACAGTTGTTACATGGGAAGGAAAACAAATGCATGGGAGAGTTCTAAAGTGAATCTCCTTTCTAACTTGTAGGGTTGTTCTACTGAAAAATCTCCTGCTCTCACTAAGTGGGATGAGGTCTTGCTATGCCTTTACTGAGCCACCTTCAGCAGCTATGTGAATATGAATACTCTGGAGTCAAGTTCAGGACCAAGCCCTCTGGAAGAACAAAACTTGAGGTCCCTCAGATATATAGGTCAACTATCACATCTAGCTCAAAGTTCATTCAAAATATGTTGACTCCATTTCTTTTTTTCTTTTTATTAAAGATCTTCATTGGGGAATTGGGGGATGGGAACAATGCTGGGAATTGGGGGAAGGGGAACAGGCAAGTTGCTGTCATTTTGTTCTTCAGTCTAGTTGTGGAGGACATTGCTTCACTGGCCCAAGTTGGCACCATCATTGCACTCTTTCCGGGCGAGGCAGATCAGTCGCTGGCTTCTGGACGGCCACTCACAGTGGCTGCTGGCCGCTCACGCTGGCTGCTGGCTACACACAGTAGCCCATGGCAACCCACTGCAGTAGGGCCTGCAGCTCACACTGTCGCCATTGACTCACGGCAGCCCAGCTCCAGGCTGAGCTGTTGTTCAGCATCTTAGCTGTAGAGGGCAGTTGACTTCATTTCTTAATTTTGCATCAAACAATCTTGGCTAGTCTCTGATAATTTACATTATATTCCTCCAGTTCTGTTTCATTTATCATCAATTGTCACATCTAGACTCAAATTATTTTGAAGTGTTGGGAATTTATGTTTGGAGTTAAACATCTTTTAGAGTTTCAAGAAGTGAGTTTATAAAGAAACTATAAAAAATGGCTTTCATATTGGCACAATTATGTTATACCCTTTTGACTCTTTGGCATGATAGGTTATTGGTGATCAAAGGTTTTGTCTACTTGGGGAAAGATAAAGAAGATAACTGACAATTATTCAACTGTAGTTCCATCTATAGATATGGTTAAATGAGATAATCTTATTCCCAGAGGGAGACATATGAGGTCTTAAAATTAAGTACACAAACTTGCCCCTGTGCGCTTACATTAGCAGCACTGTACAAACAGCTCAGTAAGGTTTCATAACCTTGGTATATCAGTGTTTCACAGCTGTGTTCGTGTTGATGTGTGGCAGTGTCTTGCTGAGTGGCATTCATTATTGTTGTATGTTTTTGTGTACTGTCACCAAAATGTCTGAGCTTGAACTAGAGCAATGAACAAACATTAAATTTCTTGTTAAACTTGGCAAGATTGGAAATGAAATCAGGGACATATTAGTCCAAGTTTATGGGGATAATGCCATGAAGAAAATGGCAGTGTATGGCAGTAATGGATTAAACATTTTTCCAAGGGAGAGAACCCATCACTGATGAAGAGAGGTCAGGGAGGCTAGGAATGAGCGGAACTGATGAAAACATTGCAAAAATTCATCAAATTGTGCATCAGAATCATTGGCCGACTGTGAGAAGCATAGCAGATCAAGTAAACATCGATAGAGAAACAGAAAAATCTTAACTGAAAATCTTGGCATGAGAAAGGTGTATGCAAAAATGGTCCCAAAGGAACTCACTGATGAACAAAAACAAAGGAGAGTCGAAGTTTGCCAAGACCTTTTGAAGAGGAAAGATGATGTTTTGGGCCGTGTTATCACTGGTCATGAAACATAGGTGTACCAATGCAGCCCTGAAACAAAGTGTCAAAGTGCACAATGGAAGTTAGCCAATTCTCCACGACCAAAAAAGTTCCGTCAGTCTAAATCAAGAGTCAAAACAGTATTGCTAAACTTTTTTGATATCAGAGGGATTATTCATTATGAATTTGTACCAAATGGACAAACAGTTAACCAAGTTTACTATTTGAAGTGCTGAAAAGACTGTGTGAAAAAGTTAGATGAAAACGATCTGAACTTTTCGCCAACAATTCATGGCTGTTAGATCACAACAATGCACCAGCTCACATGGCACTGTCTGTGAGGGAATTTTTAGCCAGTAAATAAATCACTGTATTGGAACATCCTCACTAATCACCTGAATTGGCCCAATGACTTCTTTCTTTACCTGACAATAAAGGAAATATTGAAAGGAAGACATTTTGATGACATTCAGGACATTAAGGGTAATATGATGACAGCTCTGATGGCCATTCCAAAAACAAGTTTCAAAATTGCTTTGAAAGGTGAAGTAGGCACTGGCATTGGTGCATAGTTTCCCAAGGGGAGTACTTCGAAGGTGACCATAGCAATGAGGTATGTAGCACTTTTTCTAGGATGAGTTCTCAAACTTAATTGAGAGACTTTGTATTCAGATTGTTACCTATATAGAACAAATGAACCAGATCACAGTCAAGATTAACCTCTCATTTCTTTACTTCATAGTGGTATCTGGGGTACATCTATGAAAGATCAATGACTAGACCAATAGCATCCAAATATCTGGGTGGAAGTCAAGGGAGCTAAATTTTTTCAGAGTTTCCCAAATGACTGTGATGCACAATGAGGAACACAAACCCTATAATCATATTTTCTAACTCCTTTTAGTTTAGGCTGATCCTTGATCATTCCTGTGTGCCCTGGGATATTTCAGCAGATACAGTGATATATTAACTGCTGTCACTCTTCCTCTCACCATAGTTAGAACTCTTACATTCCTGGTCTAAAGTTGGCAAAGAGAGTCAAAAAATGTGAAGAAAGTTTTTCAAGATAAAATTTATTGAGTGTTTATTGAATACCGCTTTTGATTCAGGCACTGTGTTAGGCCTTTGGAGGACTATAAAAATGATAAGGTAACATCTAAGCCATGCGAGAGCTTACAATCTACTTGGAGAGGCAGATGTGAATAAAAATAAATATATTATGATTTAAAGCAAAAAAAAAAAGGCCACAGTGATATCAGGCAGTGGCTAAGAGTACAGGCTTTGACCCATTAGAATAGCTAAAATCAAAAACTAAAAATACAGGGGCCGGCCGAATGGCTCAGTTGGTTAAGAGCTCGCTCAAGAGTTTGAGCTCTGAGCAACAGCGGTTCGAGGCCAGCCCGAGCTGAGCAGCCGCTAAGCTGCCAATAGGTAGCAGGATGGCTCAGCTAAAAAAACAAAAAAAACAAAAACAAAACAAAAAAAACAAACAAAACAAAAAAAAAACTAAAAATACAAAATGTTGGCAAAAATATGGAGCAACTAGAACTCTTGCCCATTGCTGGAAGGCAAAATGGTACAGTTTATTTGAAAAACTCTTTGGCAAAGTTTTATAAAGCTGAACATATCCCTGTACTATGACCCAGAAATTTCATACCTTGGAATTTCCAAGTGAAATGAAAGCATATTTTAACAAAAAGACTTGTACAAGAATGTTCATAGCAGTTCTATTCATAATAGCCCCAAAGTGGAAACAACCCAAAGAGGAGAATAGGGGTGATGGTGGAAATTGTGTATTATTCATATAATAGAATATGGCTCTATAATAAAAAGGAATAAACTACTAATACATACAACATGGATGACTCTCAAGAAACATTATTTATAATGAAATAAACAAGACACAAAAGAGTACTACTGTATGACTTTGTTAACAGCAAATTTAAAAACAGACAAAATTAATCTATGGCAATAGAAATTATAAAAATGCTTGCCTCTCATCGTGGAGGAGGGAATTTGTGAGAAGAGGCATAAAGAAACTTTCTGGGGTGATAGAAATATTTGATATTTTAATTGGGATGATGCTTGCATTCTTACTAAAATTCATTGAATTATGCACTTAAGACCTGTATATTTCCTTGTAAATAAAATTTCCTACAAATACAGTTATAATACAGTACATATATATATTTAAAATCATTTATTTGGTATTAAAAAAATAAGGCTTTGACAAAATCATTTATGTCCTTGTTCTATAGC